TGCAGGTTGGTTACACATGTATACTAATAGGCTCAATTAGAGCCATTAATTTGCAGTCGTCCAGATTTTGCTTTGTGGAAAGAGGGTAAGTGGTGCTCTTTCCAGCTCTCTACATGCATAAATTGAAACCAGAACCTTTGGGTTATATTTTTAAGATAAAAAGCATCATGTCTCTGAGAGTGTTTGCTTTTCAGCTTCCAGTTATCATTGACTTGAGAAACCCAACTTTGAAGGCAAGACACTGGGCAGCTATTGAACAAACAGTTGATGCCACTCTAGTGGATACTGAAATTCCATTAACCTTGGAGAGGCTCTCCGAGTTGCATGTTTTTGACTTTGGTCAAGAAATCCAGGACATATCTGGACAGGCTTCTGGAGAAGCTGCCTTAGAAGCAATTCTTAAAAAGGTAAATCTGGAATATATATTTATCTATATATAATTAGGGAATGTGAAAGTTTTCAGATTCAACATTTGGTGATCTGGATGGATTTTTCAATGTTGCAACTTTCACTCTCTCATTATCAGTCATCCCTATGTTGTTTCCTTACAACAAGTATTACTGTTTTCACCTCTAAAAATCTCCTCCTTCTGCTTATCCTATAGCACATAGGAACTTGATGGCTACAAGGTTTGAAATGTGCATGCTTATATAAGAAACCATATCCCAAGAAAGATCTTTTAAACCCAAATAAATTATCTCCAAAACTACCAGAGAAATCTGTTAAATGCTTCAAAAGACATTAAGATTTTCCCAGTTATGATACTATCTCCTTACACTAAAAATATATACACACCTACTAACCCTCTGCATAAAAAGAATTTTTTTTCTGTCAAAGCATATGTGTTAATGTCAATCAAATAAAATTAAGCAAATTAGTGTCATTTATCCAAGAAGGTTTTAAGAATTTTAAAGGGCAGGCCGGGAGTGGTGGCTCACGCCTATAATCCCAGCACTTTGGGAGGCCGAGGTGGGCGGATCACGAGGTCAGGCGATCAAGACCATCCTGGCTAACATGGTGAAACCTCATCTCTACTAAAAATAAAAAATTTAAAAAAAAAATTAGCCAGGTATGGTGGCGGGCGCCTGTAGTCCCAGCTACTCAGGAGGCTGAGGCAGAAGAATGGTGTGAACCCAGGAGGCGGAGCTTGCAGTGAGCCGAGATCGCGCCGCTGCACTCCAGCCTGGGCAACGGAGCGATACTCCTTCTCAAAAAAAAAAAAAAAAGAATTTTAAAGGGCAATACGGAGGAAAATGGGATAATTATGGAGTTTTTACTTATTTCATTTCACATGCTTTATTGAGTATCTAAGCACACTGAATTCAGATATCCTAAGACTTGAATTATTTCTAAGGTGGAGGACTCTTGGAAAACAACTGAATTTGTCATTCTGCCTCACCGTGACTCCAAAGATGTGTTTATACTGGGCGGCACAGATGACATACAGGTGGGTGACTAGGTTATTGAAAGCTTATGGTAAAGATCCCAGTCACACCTAGTCTTAAATCTTCTGTGAGAGATTATGATGAGGGAATAAAATACGAGAGTCACTTCATAAGAAAAATCTAATTGGGAAAGCAAAATGAATGCAAATAATTAACATGAATGCTTGTACATGAAATATTTAACAAAGCGTTAAAAATTGCATATATATGTAAGAGTTGCAACCTGTAGTTGGTAACTATTGAGGAACTTACAAAAACAAGGAGACCAGTTACAGCTGAAGTGATCAGAGTATTCTTCCTAGACCAGTCATAACAAGCTGGATCTTAAATATTAGATGGGATTTAATAGACATAGAAAAAAAATAAAGGGCACTTCAAACCCTGTAAATAAGGCAAAGAAACCTGAATGAGCATTTCATGTTTATAGCATGCTAAAAGGCTAAGTTTACTTGAACTTATTGGAATTAGGAGACAATGGCCATACTCTGTCAACCACAGAAGAAAATAAATCTAACACACGTGTTTGGAATAGTCTTTATCATTTAAAATCTGAAGGCGCATTTGTTTAGCAAAGGGAGCTGGGTCACATAGCCCAACTTAAAAGGCAAAGCCCTGGCCTAATAGGGTGTATCCAGGCCGGAATTAGAGATAAAATAGCTTTTCCAGGTGTAGGTTGGAAGAGCAAGACCAGACATCACTCTGCACAGGGGATGGGAGAGCAGACTCAAAGAAGTCAGTAAGTTTAGGCTAAATGTGGTGAGGGTTCTACTCTCAAAAGGCTTATTATTGAAATGGACCATTAAATCTTTCAGATTAACAGACACATTTTTTAAAATTCACATGCTTCGTGAGAGATGCTGTTGTATAAAGGGGAGTAGTAGGGGAGGGAGGTAGAGGAGAAACTGTGTATAACCATTCAGAGCTTGATATGAATGAATTCAATTCTCTCTTCCTTGAGATAATTGACAGAAAGTGATAATTCATTGGACAGAAGACAGCTAATTTTGCCAGTATATGATATTTTGAGAAACAAAGGCAAGCCCGGGTGATCAAATTGTGTTAAGAAGGTAAAAGTTACCTAATAGTGAGCAGAGAGAGGCGAAGAGTGTCAACTCAAAAAAAAACTCGTGCCATTGTTAATTACAGGAACAGCAGAAATTTGGCAATCAGAAGTCCTAGCTGACCTTTGAAAGAACATCGTGGTGCCACAAGGATGTGAATAATGAGGGGAAATTGATGAGTAGGAAACAGTAGGAGGGACTAAGCTATTAATTCAAAGAGTTGACCTTTAAGTAGACACTTGGGATTATGTATCTGAAATATTACTGAAAGCGCAAATACTTGGTGCTGCATGTGTTTTCTTCCCCTTCCTTTAAAGGTCCTTCTTGATGATAGCACCATCAATGTTGCAACCCTTGCCTCGTCACGTTACATTGGTCCACTGAAAACTCGAGTGGATGAATGGCAAAAACAACTTGCTTTATTTAATCAAACACTGGTGAGTAAGAATAATTTCGATTCATACACTCAGAGAATTGGAGAGTCACAAGGACCTTAGGAATTATTTGTTTCATTATTTAAATACTATATGGTTTTAAAATGTAAGTTTTAATTGTGGACATGTTATTTTGTTTAGAATGTAAGGGAAATGCACAGGTATTGAGCTCTTCTTTACGTAATTATACAGCTTAATGCTTTTACCATCGCCCTTGCATAGGTATACTTCAATGATATTGTAGATTTGGTTCCAAACCACCATGATAACCCAAACGTTGCAATAAAGAAATTTTGCCCCATGAATTTTTTTGTTTCAGAGAACATATAAAAGTTATGTTGAATTGGGAATACATGGACACAAAGATAGAAACAATAGCCACTGGAGACTACTAAAGAGGGGAGAGAGGAAGGGTGCAAGGGTGGAAAAACTACCTATTGGATACTATGCTCACTCTCTGAATGACAAGATCATTCATACCTCAAACCTCGGCATTACACAGCATACCCATTTAACAAACCTGCACGTGTAACCCCTGAATCTAAAATATAAGTTGAAATTATTTTTTAAAGTTATGTTTATACTGTACTGTAGTCCATTAAGTGTGCAATACTATATTGCTAAAAAAATGCTAATGATTATCTGAGCCTTCAGTGACTCATCATCTTTTGGCTGGTGGAAGATCTTGCCTCAATGTTGATGGGTGGCTGCTGAAGGTTGGGGGTGCTGTGGCAATTTCCTAAAATAAGACAACAATGAAGTTTGCCACATTCATCGACTCTTCCTTCTATTAAAAAAAAAAATCTTTGTAGCATGTAATATTTTATAGCATTTTACCCATGACAGAACTTCTTTCAAAATTGGAGTCAATGTTCTCAAGCCCTACTTCTGCTTTATCAACTATGTTTATGTAATATCCTAAATCCTTTGTTGTCATTTCAACAATGTTTATAGCATTTTCACCAGGAGTAGATTCCATCTCAAGAAACCACTTTCTTTGCTCATGCATAAGAAGCGAGTCCTCATCTGTTCAAGTTTTATCATGAGATTGCAGCAATTCAGTTACATCTTCAGGCTCCACTTCTAATTCTAGTTCTCCTGCTATTTCCACCACATCTGCTGTTGTTTCTTCCACTGAAGTCTTGAATCCCTCAAAGTCACCTATGAGGGTTGGGATCAACTTCTTCCAAACTCCTATTAGTGTTGATATTTTGACCTCCTCCCATGAATGACAAATATTTTCAATGGCATCTAGAATGATGAGTCCTTTCCAGAGGGTTTTTTAACTCACTTTTCCCAGATCCATCAGAGGAATTACTATCTGTGGCAGATAGAGCCTTACAAAATGTATTTCTTAAATAATAAGATTTTCAAGTTGAAAGTACTCCTTAATCCATGGGCTGCAGAATGGATATTGTGTTAGCAGGCGTGAAAACAATGTAAATCTCCTTGTACATCTCCATAAGAGCTCTTGGGTTACCAGGTCCATTGTCAATGAACAGTAATATTTTGAAAGAAGCCTTTTCTTCTGAGCAGTAGGTCTCAACAGTAGGCTTAAAATATTCAGTAAATCATGCTGTAAACAGATGTGCTGTCACACAGGCTTTGTTGTCTCATTTTTAGAGCACAGGCAGAGTAGATTTGGCATAATTCTTAAGGGCCTTGAGATTTTTTGAATGGTAAGTGAGCATTGGTTTTAACTCAAAGTCACCAGCTGCATTTATCCCTAACATGAGTCAGTCTGTCCTTTGAATCTTTGAAGCCAGGCATTGACTTATCTTCATTAGCTATAAAAGTCCTACATGGCATCTTCTTCTAATAGAAGGCTATTTTGTCTTCAATGAAAACCTGTTGTTGAGAGTAGCCACCTTCATCAATGATCTTAGCTAAATCCTCTGGATAACTTGCTGCAGCTTCATCAGCACTTGCTGCTTCACCTTGCACTTTTATGTTACAGTGATAGCTTCTTTCAATCTCATGAATCAACCTCTGCTACCTTCAAACTTTACTTCCACAGCTTCCTCACCTCTCTTAGCCTTTTTAAAATTGAAAACAGTTAGAGTCTTGCCTCAGACTAGGCTTTAGCTTAAGGGAATGTTATGATTGGTTTGATCTTCTATTCAAACCACTCAAACTTTCTCCAAATCAGAAATAGGGTTTTGACTTTTTATCATTTGTGTCTTCACTGAAGTTGCATTTTTAATTTCCTTCAAGAACTTTTCCTTTGCATTCACAACTGTGTTAATTGTTTCGTGCAAGAGGCTAAGCTTTTGACCTATCTTGGCTTTTGACATGCCTTCTTAACTAAGTTTAATCATTTCTAACTTTTGATTTAAATTGAGAGACATGTGACTGTTCCTTTCACTTGGACACTTAAAGGCCATTGTAGTGTTATTAATTGGCCTAATTTCAATATTGTTGTGTCTCAGGGAATGACAGGGGGCACTGAGGAGAAGAAATGAGATAGGGGAACAGGGGAACAGCCAGTCAGTGGAGCAGACAGAACATAGATAATACTTATCAATTAAGTTTGCCATCTTATATAAGCATGGTTCATGGCACCCCAAAACAATTATAATCATAGCATCAAAGATTACTGATCACAGATCACCATAACAGATATAATAATAATAATGTTTAATAATAATATTTTTAATATTGCAAGAATTACCAAAATGTGACCCAGAGACAGAGTAAGCACATGTTGTTGGAAAAATGGCATGAATTAACTTTTTGATGCAGGGTTGCCACAAAACTTCAATTTATAAAAACTGCAGTATCTGCAAAGTGCAGTAAAGTGAAGCACAATAAAACAAAGCATGCCTGTATTATCATTTTGCTGTGAAACAAATACTACAAACTTAAGCAATACCTTTGTTATCTCACAGTTTCTGTGGCTCAGGAGTTCAGGCATGGTTTAACTGAGGCCTCTTGCTCAGGGTCTAACAAGGTTGCAATTAAGATGTCAGCCAGACTGTGTTCTCATCAGAAGTTTAACCGAGGAATGATCCACTTCCAAGCTCACTCAGTTGTTGGCAGAATTAATTTTCTGGGAATTCTTGGGCTAAGGGCTTCAATCTCTTGCTGGCTCTCAGCTGGAGGCCATCCTCAGCTCCTAGATGTTGCCCACATTTTTTTCTTTATGTGATCATGACCATTGGCTGCATCAATCTAGCAAGGAAGAAAAAGATCCTAGCAAGATGACTATTACAGTCTTATATAACATAAACACAATTATGTACATTCTGTTACCTTTGCCACATCCCATATGCCTGGGAACAAGTCACAGATGGCACCCACACTCAAGGGGAGAGGATTACACAGGAATGTGAATGCCACATCTTGGGGGCCACCTTATGAGTCTTGCTGCAATGACTTTCTATTTACTGGAAGAATGCTCATTGTTGCTTGAAGTCTCCTTGGAATCTCTCCTTGTGGTGCACATGCCCTTTTGATTTTTTTCCACCTTTGATTGTCCCATAGCAAAACAAAAAACCCGCTTACACTAATCTCACTTTGTTCCCATCCAATCTCTTTCTTAGACTTCAGATATTTAGCTTGACTTAATTATGTTTAGGTTTCTAGACATTCTAATATGAGAAGTTATCTATGAAATAATAAAGGCAGTAAGAGGGAAAAG